CATTCACGAAGTGTATAGACGCAGCTCTGGCCCCGCCAGGCTGCAGTGTATACGCATTCTAAATTGCATAGATGACTGGCTGATTCTAGCGGAATCAGAACAGTTAGCGGTTCGGCACCGAGGTGTCGTTCTCGCTCATATGCAGATGTTGGGGTTGAGGCTCAATGCCAAGAAGAGTGTGCTTTCTCCAGTACAGAGAACCACTTTCCTTGGTGTGGTACGGGATTCAGTGACGATGCGGGCCACTCTGTCGCCCGTTCGTGTAGCTGCTATCCTAACAGCCACAAAAGAGCTGAGGCTAGGCCAGTCACGCACTGTAAAACAGTTCGAGAGACTGTTGGGTCTTGTGGCAGTAGCGTCCAACGGGATACCTTTTGGCCTGCTGTACATGAGACCTTTGCAGTGGTGGCGCAGGACCAGAGGGTTCTCCCCGAGGGGAAACCCACTTCGTATGATCAAGATCACGCGGCCGTGCCTTCGTGCCTTGGTTATATGGAGGAAACACTGGTTCTTAACCCAGGGTTCGGTGTTGGGAGCTCTTTGCCATCTAGTTGCTATCTCGACAGATGCTTCCCTCACCGGCTGGGGAGCGGTATTGGAAGGCCGCTCAGCTCAGGGCTTGGGAGGAGTCATCATCTCGCTTGGCACATGAATTGCCTAGAGATGATGGTCGTCTTCAATGCGTTGAGACATCTCCTCCCAGACCTGAGGGGCCATCATGTGTTGTTCTGAAACAGTGACTGTTAGGCCTCAGGGCAGCAGCGTTCAATGTGATACCCTTTGACCTGCTGTACGTGAGACCTTTACAGTGGTGGCTCAGGACCAGAGGGTTCTCCCTGAGGGGAAACCCACTCCGTACGATCAAGATCACGCGGCAGTATCCCCGCGCCTTGGTTATATGGAGGAAACTCTGGTTCTTGACCCACAGACAACACGTTGGTGGCCTATTATTTTGGTCCCTCAGGAAATTACGCTGTCTGAGGGCAGTGTATATTCCAGGGGGGCCAGAATATTGGAGCAGACACCCTGTCGAGGCAGGGGCTGAGGCCAGGGGACTCCACCCCGAGGCGGTGGAGCAAATATGGGAGTTTTATGGCCAGGCAGAAGTGGATTTGTTCTCGTCTCAGCATACGACGCACTGTCCACTCTGGTTATCCCTCACTCAGCCAGTCCCCTCGGGGCTGGTTGCTATGGTGCAGACGTGGCTGAGGCTACGTCTGTACGCATTTCCCCCTGTTGCTCTGCTCCCAGGAGTTCTGGAGTGATTCCGCCAGGATGGAATAAGCCTATTTAGTAGCACCACCCTGGCCGAGCTGAATTTGGTTTGCGGACCTAATTTTTCTCCTCGACGGACCTCCCTTGGAGGTCCCGATCAGGAGAGACCTTCCGTCTCAGGCTGGGGATGCAATATTGCACCCCCGGCAGGGGATTTGGAAACTGTGGGTTTGGCCTCTGAGGGGGCCCAACTCATAGAGAGTGGTCTCTCAACCGAGGTTGTTGAGACCGTTCTAAGCTCCAGAGCTCCCGCTACGAGGAAACTATATTCACTATTTCGAGAGTTTTTCACTTCTTGGTGTTACCAGCGTCAGTGGGATCCGGTTAACTGTTCAGTAAACACAGTATTCGAGTTTCTGCAAGAACGCTTTGTATCAGGTCTATGTCCTTCCACGCTTAAGGTATACGTGGCGGCCATTTCGGCTTTCCACGCCCTGGTGGGTAGTACATTTTTGGGTCGAGACCCCCTGATCACTCGTTTCCTTCGTGGCACTTTGAGGCTGAGGCCTGCAACTTGCACTAGGGTGCTGGCTTGGGACCTTGCAATAGTTCTAGAAGGCCTATCTGGGGCTCCCTTCGAGCCCTTAGATTTGGTCTCAGAGAAGTTCCTTTCTTTTAAGACTATTTTCTGCTAGCTATTTCGTCCCTATTAGAGTCAGACCTTCAGGCCCTTTCGGTCCCCACCTGCCTTGAGTGCACCGGGGATGGCCAAGGCATTCTTACCGAAACATGGATATGTTCCAAAGGTGCCTACCATTATTCCGAGGCCTATTGTGCTGCAGGTTTCTGTCCTCCTTTTACATCTGCGGACCAGGAAAGGCTGAACCTCTTGTGTCCAGTGCGAGCACTGGATACTTATGTTCATCGGACATCTTCAATGAGGAAGTCCGACCAGTTGTTTATTTGCTTTGGATCACCTAAGAAGGGTCTTCCTGCTTCTAAACAGACGGTTAGTAAGTGGATAGTCGAGGCTATTTCACTTGCATACGAGTACTCTGACCATCCGTGTCCCTTGGTGGTCAGAGCTCACTCAACGAGGGGTATGGCGGCCTCTAAAGCCTTGTTATTTGGAGTTTCTCTCCAAGACGTTTGTGATGCGGCAGGCTGGTCTTCACCGCTCACATTCGTCAGGTTTTACAGTTTGGACCTGGATGCTGCCCCAGGTTCTCAGGTGCTTAGTGCTTAGTTCCAACAGACTGACACTCAGGTACTTGGAATTCTGGCGTTTTGGGTATTCTCGTTCCCAAAGCGTCAAGTGACGCATCGCGAGTTCCCTCGAAAGGGAACGTCTCAGGTTACTACTGTAACCATAGTTCCCTGAGAAAGGGAACGAGACGATGCGTCACCCTGCCATACTTCCTGCATCCCTGTGATCGGCTTGCTTCGACTTTTTGAAGCTAATGCCGCGTTTCACCGGATGTGCTCTTATGCCTTCCTGGTCATGACGTCACCCGCCCGTGACGCTCATTCTTTCCATTGGACTAGTTGACATTGATGCTCAGACGCATTCACGCTGGGGGCGTTCCCAAAGCGTCAAGTGACGCATCGTCTCGTTCCCTTTCTCAGGGAACTATGGTTACAGTAGTAACCTGAGACGTTTTCCGCCTAGCCGTCTTTTTGTCATTGTGATGGATAAAAGGGTAAAAAGACAGAGTAAGCAATGCTCTACTTTGTTACTTTTTCTTGCTGTAGTTGTCATGTTCTCTGTGTGGAGGGCTTGAACAGGGACAGAGTGATTCAAAATTATAATTTGAAAGTTTAGGACTTTGTAATTCAAGGATTAATGTTAACAACTTTGACTTGAGGAGTTGAAATTATAAAAAAAATTGCATCACTGCTGCTGGTGTACAGTTCTGTCCCTGTTCTTTACATGGCTTCAGTTCAGAAAATGACACTAAATTGACTTCTCTTTCTCCCCTTTTTTCCTCTCTTTTATCTGCTCTTATTCTGTCCATGTCCTTTTGTGTGTTCTTGCTCTTCTTTAAACTTTTCCTCTCTCTTTCTCCTCTTTGATTTGTGTAATGGTGAATAGCTAAAGCGAGCCACTGTGCACGATCCCAATACGGGAAAACTCACCACTGCCCAGTACAGAGTCTCCAAGAGGTAAGGGATCAAAAGTCAAAGGTCAAAACATCCTATCAAAAACTGTCATTCAAATGGAGATTCGTAATGTGTGCCAAAATTAAAAAATCCAACCTTCACTTGGCCATAGAAGTTTTGGTGACCCACTTTCACAGGCAGCAAATGTTAGAGTCTTTCTTCTACTACAGTCCTCTTAATGTTAAGACTATCTTAAATGTTTGAGAATCGATAAATGAACAATTGTGCACACATACAGCATTGCGCCTAAGTCACAGTCTCTGAATGAACAGCCGTTTGAGTCTGTGAACTAAAATAATTTTTTAAATAGCGCTATTCCGCTATACATAGTTCTATCGTCTCCCTCATATTCCACCCACACCAGAGTGGTTTAACTTATTCTAGTTATTATGAGTGTGTATGTTTGAGAACGCACGTCCCAGCACAGGCAGACTGGGTGGAGTTGCTGGAACACTTGAGGGCTCCTTTCACACCAAAAGCTATGAATGTGTCAGTTTGTGAGTTTAAGACTTCAAACATTATGTTGAGAAGATAAATATATTAAAATAATTGGTATATACACTACCATTCAGAAGTTTGGGTCAGTAACATAAAAAAAAAAAAAGTTGTATACTTTTATTCTGCAGAAACATTAAATTGATCAAAAGTGACAGTAAAGACATTTATAATATTACAAATGATTTCTTTTTCAAATGCGGTTCTTTTGAACATTCATTCATCTGTGATATTCATTAAAGAATCCTGAAAAAAAGTATTGTGGTTTCTACATAAATATTGAGCAGCACTACAGATTTTAAAATGTTTCTGAAACAAATCAGCTTATTAGGGATCATGTGACTCTGAAGACTGAAGAAATGTCTGCTGAAAATTCCGAGTTGCCATCACAGGAATAAATAAAAATTTAAAAGATATGAAAATAGAAAATATTTATTTCAATATTGTAATATTTCACAATAGTAGTTTTTTACTGTATTTTTTTATCAAAATAACTGAGCATGAGACTTTGTTCAAAACCGTTCATATAATCTTACTGAACACAAACTTTTGAACAGTACTATATACATATTTATTTTAAATCAATGATGTAGGTGTCAATAAGCAATTATTTTAAATGGAAAATAACTATCATTTTAGAAATCATGGTTAAGATTAATGTTTAATGTTGATTTGCAGAAACTGAGGGGCCCCCCCCTCTCTCTCTCTCTCTCTCTCTCTCTCTCTCTCTCACACACACACACACACACACACAGACTCACTCACTCATAATCCTGAATGAGATCAGTGTTGCTGAATTCCTTTACTCTGATATTCTCAGTGAGGAATGTGAACTCATTTTGCTGATTGCTGCCCCCTCTTTCTTTTTAATTTCTCTTTCCACCATTCATCGCTTCCCCTGCCGGTTTGTCTTTATCACAATCAGACTTTTTCACATTTATAACTAATTAAAATAATTTCAACTTTAGAAATCTTTTCACTGAAAACAGGATGTGAAAACGTCTGAAAATCATTCATGTGCATGGTGTGGCATGAGGTTTGTTTATCATGTATAATGGAATAGTAGTTGCTTTTGTATATAGTTGTTTCACTTTTCTTCAGTTTCTAGTCTTTTTCTCCCCTCATTCTAGTGCTTGGCTGTCTGGATATGAGCATTCTACAATTGAAAGGATTAACCAGCGTATCGAGGATGTAACAGGCCTGGAAATGGACACAGCAGAAGAGCTGCAGGTAAGAGGAACTTTTACACAACCAGCCAATCAGATGCTTTTAGTCAGATGACTCATTCGTGTAACAAGAATCCACCTGTTGTAATATTGCACTGGTAAAAAGGTTGTCATAAGCAATGTTTTTCATCTCAGGTTGCAAATTATGGAGTTGGTGGTCAGTACGAACCTCATTTTGACTTTGGAAGGGTGAGTTCCTGTGTCTTTCTTTCACCGATAAAAAGTCACACATATCAGCAAATCAGTGTAGGATTATTAAATTGTTTATATACAGTACCATTCAAAAGTTTGGCGTACGATTTAAAAAAGTTAAAAGCATGCTTTTTCAGCATGTCTTCATTAAATTGATCAATAGTGACTGATTAAAGACATTTATAACTTTACAAAAGTTTTATATTTCAAATAAATGCTGTTCTTTTGAACTTTCTATTCATCAAAAACCCTGAAAAAAAACATGTATCACAGTTTCTACAAAAATAATATTATTTGATAATAATAAGAAATGTTTCTTGAGCTCCAAATCAGCATGTTAGAATGATTTCTGAAGGATCATGTGACACTGAAGACTGGAGTAATGATGCTTAAAATTCAGCGTTGCCTTCACGGGAATATGGCAAAAATACATTCGATTTTAAACTATATTGAAATAGATTTTTTTGTTGTTGTTATTATTGCAAATATATTCACAATATTACTGTTTTTACTGTATTTTCGATAAAAATAAATGCAGCCTTGGTGAGCATCTTTTTTGAAAAACATTAAACCAATCTTACAGACTTTTCAACAGTGGGCTAAGCCTGTGTCTTGAGGTTTTTTTTTGTTTTGTTTTTTACACTCTGTTCTTATAAACAGAAAGATGAACCAGATGCCTTTAAAGAACTGGGAACAGGAAACAGAATTGCAACTTGGCTCTTTTATGTGAGTAAACTGACTTTGACGTGCAGACACACACATATATTAAAGGTACAATATGTAAGAATTTTGTAATAAAATATCCAAAAATCACTTGCACAGTGTGATATATTTCCTGCAGCTGTGTACTTACAATATCCCAAAAGTCTCCAAAGATGTTTTATTTCAGAGAAATTCCAATTTTAAATAAGTGGCCGTCCCGAAAAAAAAATGTCGCCTGTCAATGACGCAATATCCGCGCTATCCTCGGTTTCCGTTCATACTGCCATAGCCGTGGACAACTGCGTAGTGCGTAACGTTTAGCGGCACGAAGTTCTTGTTTCTTTCAAACATAGACCATGGCAAGCAGACTTTGGGACAAACAAGGAGAACTAAAATGAGGATCAATATCAGCGTGGCGTTTTTGAGATGCCGAGAGCTCCACGTCCGCGACTAACTTGGACTTGACAGAGCTTCACGAGTCACGACTTGACAGCTTTATTAGACAGGTGAGCAAATGTACATAAAACAAATCAATGTTATATAACGTTAGCTCAACATGATGAAATGTTAGAATATGGTCAGTATGTTATTCTAATGTTGATCTAGCTTAACGTTACTGCTAGTTTCGTATAGCAAACGAACTAACACGTAGTATAACATTATAACTTTCAACACACATTTTAATGCTGTTTAGTGTGTTAGTGTAACGTTAGACCAAGTGAAGCAGCGCTGCGTTTACCTCACAAGTTTAATTCGTCTAATAAACTGACCTGTGTGAGTAATCCAGCACTGGCGAGTAGTTCGGTAGAATTAAATGTCCTTATTCCTTTATATCCGCGGGACTCGCGTGTGATATCTGTCTCTTTAGCAATCACGACCTGCTTCATACCACTGTAATGTTAATAAACATGAATTTTTGCACTCATCCATAAACATTATTAGATCCATCAGCTTGACAGCAAGTCCCATCATTCAGCTCATCACTGCATCATAAACCTATGCCTTTGTTATTGTTGGAAACTGTGCCCTCTTGTGGCGAAAAAACCTACATATTGGCCCTCATTTATCATTCTTGCGTAGAAACGGGCGTATATGTTGGCGTAAGATTATGCTTACACTCCTCTCACCGCCTGATTTATGAAGCTGTGCGTACCTTTGAAATCCAGGTGTACGCAATACCTGCCCTTGATAAATCCCGCGGCTGAAAACGATCGTCATTAGAATAACACGCCCCTATATATTCAAGTCTCCGCTTCCCACACGCCCTCATTTTACGCCATGGACACACGGAAGACGGCAAAGAAGAGAAACTTCTCTGACGTGGAGCCGAAATGACCTATCACAATGCTATATTTTACAGCACGTCTTTTGAATTAGCATTCAATTTCGAATCACGTTACATGTATTGGGGTGTACAATAGTGATGATGATGATGTGATGTGGAGTACCATTCATTCACATTAATAATTGCATGACAATTTGTAATATTCTTATTATTATTAGTATGATTTGTATTATTAATGACGCTTATTGTTATTTAGAAGAAGAATGTCATTATTATTATTTGTATTATTATTATTATTTAAAAGAAGAAGAATGTATTTTTTATTATTTTGTCAGTCTGAATTATTTTTTGGTCATGAAAGCCTTTCGTTACCGAACCCAGTCCGTGCGCACCTGCCGGGCCTAACCCTGAAACGTCAGGGTAAAGCGCACAGGCTCGCAACTGAAGGAATACATATGCTTACAAATCAAATGCTTTGGTAAAGTCACACAAATTAAACATTGAAGTCCATGTTGCACAAAAATAAACACTGAAGTTTATAATTACTATGTTGTTGTTTTTTTGTTTTACAGTGGGTCATAATATATAATATCTTTTAGTTTGTCAGTGCATTTTGTGGTGTTAGGAATTGTTTTTCTGTGCATTTCCGCACTAACTCAAAACGTGCGTACATGTACACCACCTCCTGAGCTGGCGTAGGATTTGAGCGTGCCGTACGCCAACGTCCATATTGATAAATCTCAAAGTCACCGTGGTTTTGGGTGTACGCCAGGTGTACGCTGGAAATTTGGTGTACGCACTTTTGATAAATGAGGGCCATTGTGCCTTTAATGTCAATCACAACTATCAACATTTTATGGTCTTTAACATGATTTATCACATATCTGATTAGCTTGTTTGCTTGTAAATATGCTTGTTAAAATGCTTGCAATAAAATGTAAAGTAATATAACATTATAGCAGTGGCGGATGCAAAAAGTCACACTCTAAAAAGTGTGGGTGGGCTGGAATAATTCGCATCACTCCTTGTTTGTCAACTTGGGAGAAAAAATTGACGGGCAATACTACGCACTGTAATCTCCCATGACTTTAACACCGTCAGGTTCCGCAACAAAAGACCTAAAAGCTCATTCAAATCAACAATGCTTTATTTATACCAAGTCCAGATCCACCAACAAGGCTGAGCCTAAATTGGTGTCCAGGTGACAAAGAGTGAAAACTATTGATAGATGAAGAGTGACCGCTCTGATTGCGGAGTGCAATCACGTGAAAAAAGATCAAATCAAAATCACTGTAATGTATCATTAAGAGAAATCGCAATATCTGTATCGACACCCGCAGCTCCGCCCCTGCATTATAGATATGCATTATCATGACATTATATTACCTGTTGCAGATGAGTGACGTGTCAGCAGGGGGCGCTACAGTCTTCCCTGATGTAGGCGCAGCAGTGTGGCCTAAAAAGGTGAAACACCACAAAAAATAAATGATTTTCTTCATGTGTAAACTAGTTAATTCATTTTAATATTCACTCTCTCTTACCTTTCAGGGTACAGCAGTATTCTGGTATAACCTTTTTGCCAGTGGAGAAGGAGATTACAGCACAAGACATGCTGCCTGTCCAGTATTAGTGGGAAACAAATGGGGTGTGTGTGTGTGTGTGTGTGTGTGTGTGTGTGTGTGTGTGTGTGTGTGTGTGTGTGTGTGTGTGTATATATATATATTATATGTATGAGTGTGTGTATTCTCACTTGTTTTATTTTTTTCTACTCTCTTTTCCTCCAGTATCAAACAAATGGATACATGAACGAGGTCAAGAATTCAGACGACCCTGTGCAGTGTCCGAGATGGAATGATCACTTCTTTTCTTATTTCCTGTTCAGTGTCAGTTTTAGTCAATATGATGTGTGTTTGTACAAGGAGTGAATGACTATGCTTCAATCTATGCATTTATTTTATTGTTCCCTTTTACTCAAATAATAGACCTAGGAATGCTGTGAGGTTTCTGGGCAGGATATTCCCTGACTGTAGAAACTATGAATATGCATAGATCCAATCAAATATTTTATTTTAGTTATTTATTTAGGGTTAAATTTGAACTCCATATGTTTCATTTGCTCTTCCTGACATGTCTTAAACTCCAACAGACCTCTAAGTCTTTCATTTAAACCACTGAACACTCCATAAACCTTAATATAAATGTTAAAGAAAACACGGCACAGTGCAAGCCCAACTTTTTAGACCAGAAAATAAAAGGAAAATAATCTGTTACAAAATTGTTTTTATAAACCCCTGAAACATTTTGAAGTACCAAAGAGTATTTTTTTTTACCCCTGGGGCCAATGCAAACAATGTTTGTCTTTGTTTTGTATTTTGTTTTTTTATGTGCGTATGGAAATATTTTTAAGTGTGATAGTTTTTTTTTTACAGAAATAAAATCTATGACATAATTTTCAGTTGTCTTTTTTTTGTGTCAGAAATGTATGTGCCACAACTCTTACACTCTTGCATACTGGATAATTTAAAATTCTATTGGCTGGTGACTTTTGAGGTCATTCAGATGTTGATTGATAAGCATTCATCAACTCATACATCAATTGTGGTAAATGGAAGCTCATGTTCGCTTGATTTCATTGATTTTTATTCCATTTTTCGCTTGACGTGCGAGAACCAATGAGGTTCTGTTGAGCTTTTGTTTATATTCACTCATCTAAAGCTCAATTCATATGGATTATTTTTGGATCTCTTTATGAACTTTTTGAAACATCAACGTTTCAGTTGCGTGGCTACTCTCAGTTCCCTTTCGAGGGAACTCTCGATGCGTCACTTGACGCCTTGGGAACGCCCCCAGCGTGAATGCGTCTGAGCATCAATGTCAACTAGTCCAATGGAAAGAATGAGCGTCACGGGCGGGTGACGTCATGACCAGGAAGGGATAAAGGCTCACCCGGTGAAACGCGGCATTAGCTTCTGTGTCTCAGCATGCGATCTGTGTTACTCTGTCTCTGTCTATTTATTGTTGTCTGTTCGATATTATTGGGAAGAGTTATGGCGAAACAACTTTACAAACTATCTGTGCTTCTCCCTGCCCGCGTTATTTAACGGGTGGGGACACACACGAGCTTTGTGTAGTTTGTTTGGGAGTGGAGCATGCGGTATCAGCCTCCGAGGGGGCTGATTGCAACATTGTGAGAAGCTTTCGCTTCGCATGCTCCACTCCCGCCTGTCACTTTTCGAGGAAAGTGGCCAGGCTCGCGATCCTCGGGGTGCAGGACACGCGTCTGCCGAGGCAGCGCGGAGAATGCATTCCTGTGGATCGCGAATAGGATCTCGTTACGGGGTTGGAGACGGGTCCGCGGATCTTATCTCCTCCCTTTCCACGAGGGATCCAGTGCTCTCTCTCCGGTCTCGGAAGCCCGCGCTGCGGTCTCTTCCGCCCGGGGAGAGAAATCAATGCTTCGGTGCTCTACCTCCGAGGAGGTAGATGTGCTGGGCATTGAAAGTGTACACAATCATGGGGGAAGTGGATTTGCCATCTCTTCCCCAGCGTATGAGAATTATATATAGCCTATATATATACACTCACCGGCCACTTTATTAGGTACACCTGTCCAACTGCTCGTTAACACTTAATTTCTAAGCAGCCAATCACATGGCGGCAACTCAGTGCATTTAGGCATGTAGACATGGTCAAGACAATCTCCTGCAGTTCAAACCGAGCATCAGTATGGGGAAGAAAGGTGATTTGAGTGACTTTGAACGTGGCATGATTGTTGGTGCCAGAAGGGCTGGTCTGAGTATTTCAGAAACTGCTAATCTACTGGGATTTTCACGCACAACCATCTCTAGGGTTTACAGAGAATGGTCCGAAAAAGAAAAAACATCCAGTGAGCGGCAATTCTGTGGGCGGAAATGCCTTGTTGATGCCAGAGGTCAGAGGAGAATGGCCAGACTGGTTCGAGCTGATAGAAGGGCAACAGTGACTGAAATAACCACTCGTTACAACCGAGGTATGCAGCAAAGCATTTGTGAAGCCACAACACGCACAACCTTGAGGCGGATGGGCTACAACAGCAGAAGACTCCACCGGGTACCACTCATCTCCACTACAAATAGGGAAAAGAGGCTACAATTTGCAAGAGCTCACCAAAATTGAACAGTTGAAGACTGGAAAAATGTTGCCTGGTCTGATGAGTCTCGATTTCTGTTGAGACATTCAGATGTTAGAGTCAGAATTTGGCGTAAACAGAATGAGAACATGGAACCATCATGCCTTGTTACCACTGTGCAGGCTGGTGGTGGTGGTGTAATGATGTGGGGGATGTTTTCCTGGCACACTTTAGGCCCCTTAGTGCCAATTGGGCATCGTTTAAATGCCACGGCCTACCTGAGCATTGTTTCTGACCATGTCCATCCCTTTATGGCCACCATGTACCCATCCTCTGATGGCTACTTCCACCATGTCACAAAGCTCTAATCATTTCAAATTGGTTTCTTGAACATGACAATGAGTTCACTGTACTAAAATGGCCTCCACAGTCACCAGATCTCAACCCAATAGAGCATCTTTGGGATGTGGTGGAACGGGAGATTCGCATCATGGATGTGCAGCCGACAAATCTGCGGCAACTGTGTGATGCCATCATGTCAATATGGACCAAACTCCCTGAGGAATGCTTCCAGCACCTTGTTGAATCTATGCCACGAAGAATTGAGGCAGTTCTGAAGGCAAAAGGGGGTCCAACCCGTTACTAGCATGGGGTACCTAATAAAGTGGCCGGTGAGTGTATATATATATATGATAGTTTATATATTATATATAAAATAAAGTGTATATATATAAAGAATGTATATAAAAAATATATATATAATAATAAGCTGGTGGAGGTGTTTACTGAGGCTGTAGATGAATTAAATATTTAATGGCCAGCAGAAATAAGGGGGCACTCGTCCTTAAAATAAATTGAACGAGTTTCCTTCCCTCTATTTTTCCACCTCCATCACGGGGCCTTCCATTTTTCCCGATCTGCACAGCGAGCTGTCTAGATCATGGAAAAAGCCTTACTCATTTTTTAGCCCCACATTCATGTATATTCAGATATTTGGGGGTTAAGAGAGTATGGCTATGGGGCAATACCCCGGGTAGAACAGACACTTGCGAGCTATGTCTCCCGGTTCAGTATCGTCCCTGAAGGCGTCGGCTTCTCTCACTAAACCATTAAAGAAAACTATTTTTTAATCTAGTGGGAAAAGCATATATGGCAGTGGGTCTAGCACGAGCCTGCTTGCACACTATAGCAGTGCTGCAAGCATATCAGGCTGACCTGCTGTGGTATTTGGACAGAAGTGAGGGAGTTTGGCCCGATGGGGTTTGAGAACTCCGTCGGGCCTCAGATTTATCTCTCAGGGATAGCAGCCAAAGAAATGTGGTCACTGAGAGACACCTCTGGCTCAATTTGATGGGAATCATGGAGAAAGATACAAGATAATCTCTCCCTCGCTATGTCCAACCCACTGGGGCTGCTGGGCGTGAGCAGCTCCAGCCGGCTAGTTTCTCATACACAACACAGCAGCCAAAGCCTTCAAAGCAGAAGCCGGATCCGAGGACCGTTCTTCATGCTGAGAAGGCTGCGGCTCAAAAGAAAAGGTCTGGCGCCACGGCGTCAGACCGGTGAGGGCAGCCCCAACCGGGGTGGAATGGTGTACACCTCATTATACGGTGCCCTTTCCATCTCTGTGCCCTCAGGGGATCGTTCTGCCAACCCCGCCACCCTTGGTGCTTCGGGGCGCAGCGTTCTCCAGCAAGCTTCTGGCGCAGCGTCAACTCGACATTGCGTCGGACTCGCGCCCTCTGAGGGGGGTTCGAAAACAGTCAGTTCGGGTGGTTCCAGCCAGTATGTTTCAGGTCCCCGAACTGGCTGTCTTTATTACACCAGAGGCCAGCCTCGAGGGGCTGGTTCCCTTGGTAGGTTTTCTGGCAGCGCGGAAGCTACTGCCAAATATATCTCTATGGGTAATGGGAATCTCTCTGGTAATGGAGCAAGGCGTAAAGGCCCTGTTAGCAAAGAAAGCTATAGAGCAGGTGTACTCACCCGACATTGCGTCGGGTCTTTACAGTCGTTATCTCATTGTTCCAAAAAAGGATGGAGAGCAGCGTCACATACTAGATCTTCGTCTGTTGGAGTGTTTGGTGCTGGAACTCAAGTCCAAGATGCTGACACTCAAACAGATCGTGACTCAAATCAGATCCGAGGACTGGTTTGTCACGATAGATCTAAAAGACGTATACTTCCATATCTCCATCCTCCCTCAGCACAGGAGGTTCCTGAGGTTTTCTTTGGGGCAAAGAACACCAGTATCAGGCACTTCCTTTCGGTCTAGCTCTATCACCCCGCACGTTCACGAAGTGTATAGACGCAGCTCTGGCCCCGCCAGGCTGCAGTGTATACGCATTCTGAATTGCATAGATGACTGGCTGATTCTAGCGGAATCAGAACAGTTAGCGGTTCGGCACCGAGGTGTCGTTCTCGCTCATATGCAGATGTTGGGGTTGAGGCTCAATGCCAAAAAGAGTGTTCTTTCTCCAGTACAGAGAACCACTTTCCTTGGTGTGGTATGGGATTCAGTGACGATGCAGGCCACTTTATCGCCCGTTCGTGTAGCTGCTATCCTGACAGCCACCATAGAGCTAAAGCTAGGCCAGTCACGCACTGTAAAACAGTTCGAGAGACTGTTGGGTCTTGTGGCAGTAGCGTCCAACGGGATACTTTTTGGCCTGCTGTACATGAGACCTTTGCAGTGGTGGCGCAGGACCAGAGGGTTCTCCCCGAGGGGAAACCCACTTCGTATGATCAAGATCACGCGGCCGTGCCTTCGTGCCTTGGTTATATGGAGGAAACACTGGTTCTTAACCCAGGGTTCGGTGTTGGGAGCTCTTTGCCATCAAGTTGCTATCTCGACAGATGCTTCCCTCACCGGCTGGGGAGCGGTATTGGAAGGCCGCTCAGCTCAGGGCTTGGGAGGAGTCATCATCTCGCTTGGCACATGAATTGCCTAGAGATGATGGTCGTCTTCAATGCGTTGAGACATCTCCTCCCAGACCTGAGGGGCCATCATGTGTTGTTCTGAAACAGTGACTGTTAGGCCTCAGGGCAGCAGCGTTCAATGTGATACCCTTTGACCTGCTGTACGTGAGACCTTTACAGTGGTGGCTCAGGACCAGAGGGTTCTCCCTGAGGGGAAACCCACTCCGTACGATCAAGAT